TAACAGAACACTGTGCCTACTGTCAGCCTTATCTGTTTTCCATACAAATGAGTACTTTGTTATCATTTAACCCTTGCTTCTATTTTTTTCCTCTATTTTTCCCTTTTGTAATTTTGTAACATGTTCTTTTATGTTCAGGATGCATTTTATAATTAGTGTTTTGCTAATATATAAAGTTTTTTTTTAAAAAGGTTAGGGCTGCCGGGTGTGGTGGCACAAGCCTTTACTCCCTGCACTTGGGAGGCAGAGGCAGGCAGATCTCTGTGAGTTCAAGGCCAGCCTGGTCTACATAGTGAGTTCCAGGCCAGCTGGGGCTACAGGGGCACCCTGTCTCAAATAGAGCAAAAAAAAAAAGGAAAGAAAAAAAAAAGAAAAACAAGGTTAGGGCTGGAAAAATGGCTCAGTAGTTAATAGGACATGCGGCTCTTGTAGAGGGCCAAAGTTTGGTTCCCAGCACCTGACTGCATCAGGCAACTCAACTGCCTATAACTCCAGTTCCAGGAGATAGGATGCCCTCTTCTGGCTTCTGCAAGCACCTGCATGCATGTGGTGCACATACAAACAAGCAGACATACACACATAATTAAAACTTTCAAAACAAGCCAGGCGTGGTGGCGCAAGTCTTTGATCTCAGCACTTGGGAGGCAGAGGCAGGCAGATCCTTGTGAGTTCGAGGCCAGCCTGGTCTACATAGTGAGTTCCAAGATAGCTGGAGCTACAGGGAGACCCTGTTTCAAAAAGACCAAAAAAAAAGAACAAACCAAACCAACAGCAGCAAACAAAAAGCAAAAAAGTAACAAAAAGATCTGGCTGAGCCAAGGTTAGTGGCACATGCCTATAATCTAGAGCACTTGAGAAGTGGAGGCAGATAGATTCAAGAGCTCCAGGTTATCCTGAGCTACACAGTTTTGAGGTTAGCCTAAACTATGTAACATTATCTCGGAAACAACAGGGGGCTGGAGAGATGGCTCAGTGGGTTAAGAACTCTTGCTGTTCTTGCAGAGTACCAGAGTTTGGTTCCCAGCACCCACATTGGTTGGCTCATAACCACCTGTGATTCCAACTCCAGAGAACTGCCTGTCTCCCTCCTTCCCCAACTCCTATCCCTATCCCCAGTGCTGGTATTACAGATGCATGACACAGTAAGTGGATTTTTCCATGGGTGCTGAGGATTGAACTCCAGTCCTCATGCTTGTGAGGCAAGTACTTTATTGACTGAACCATCTCCCTAGTCCAAATTTGTGTTTTTTAACACCATTTGAAATATCTGATTTAACTAAGAAAACAATGAATAATCATAATATGAACACCACACTGTCACTTTTATATTCATTATCAACTAAAAATTGGCACAACACTGTAATGGCTAAATCTAAGTCTATATAAATATTCGTTTCATTATACATACTTAAATTTTTGGTAGGTTTGAACTTTTTTTTCTTGTCTTTTTGAAACAGGTTCTCCCTGTAGCCCCAGCTGGCCTGAGCTCTCTATGTAGACCAGGCTGCCCTTGAACTTACAGAGATCCACCTGCCTCTGCCTCCCAAATACTGGGATTAAAGGTATGCACCACCACACCTAGCATATATATTTAATATTACTATTAGTGTTACTCCTGTACAAATGGAAAATAATTAAGTCCAATGTGTCTAGACCAAAAGGATTGTTAATTTCTATACCATGCCAACTCTACACTCCTAGAATAAAGGATTTAAGAAGCCAGATCAGATCAACCCTTACAGCCCTTAAAAGGTAGCCCATTCATCATTGAGGAAAACAAAAATTTTTATGAACACTAGATAGGGTTTAACCTGTGGGCTGCAGACCTCTCAAGAACAAAACACGCTATTTTCCGATCCTAGAGTCACTATCTTTTCTCCTTAATTAATTTTAACGTACTCCCTCAGGTTCTACATATTGCTTTACTGTGCTTTCCTAGAATGTACAGCCAAAAGAGAAAGCATTACAAGCCTAACTGCCCAAAACACTTTTGTATCAAAAGTTCATGTAAGAGCCAGCTGGGGCTAAGGCAAGACCCTGTTTCAAAAAATAAATGGCTGGAGAGATGGCTCAGTGGTTAAGAGCACTGGCTGCTCTTTCAGATGATCCTGGTTCGATTCCCAGCACCCATCTATAACTCTAGTTCCAGGGTATCCATCGCCTTCTTCTGATCTCTGAGAGCATTGCATGACACAGGTGTATTTACATTCATGCAGGCAATATACTGATACACATAAAAAAATGTTAAAAACAAAATATTAAAACAATGATAACAACAAAAAGTTCACATTAGATGCTGGTGCTCCAGCTCCGTCACTGATTACATGCCAAAATTTTTTTGTTGGGTGTACTTTTCAGGTATTATCTATTTGATTATTAGCTGGTGACTTCTCTCTTTTACTAGATTCTAACTTTAGTAAGTGTAAAAAAGATGAATATTTTGCCCATTACCAACACAGGACTCGACCTATATGATATACATATATCTGACAAATTAATAGCATGGATTTTAATTAATGTGCAAAGAAAACTACAATGAGTAAGAAAATTAATGTCACAAGCCACCAGGTATGGTGGGTGCGTGTCTTTAGTCGCAGGATTTGGGAGGCAGAGATGGATGGATCTCTGAGAGATGGAGGCTAGCCTGGTCAACCTAACAAGTTCTAGGCCAGCTGGAGGGAGCTATAGAGAGACTGCCTCAAAAAAATAAAATAGCTGGGTGTGGTGGTGCAGGCCTTTAATCTCAGCAGTTGGAAGGCAGAGGCAGGAGGATCTCTGTGAGATTGAGACCAGTATGGTCTCCATAGTGAGTTCCAGGCCAGCTGGAAGTACAGGGAGACTATCTCAAAAAACAATAATAATAATATTAATAATGTTTTTTAAAATCCCAAGCCTTTAATCCCAGTACCAAGGAGGCAGAGGCAGGTGAATCTCTTTTGAGATCAAGGCCAGTCTGGACTATACAGTGAGTTCCAGGCCAGCTAGGAATACAGGGAGCACTTGTCTCAAAAAAAAATAAAACATTAAAAATCAAGTTTTAGGAAAGGTACAAGAAACAGAACAGTTTTAGTTTTGCTGAAGACTGGCCTTATTAATGGACAGCTTTCTTCATAAGTGATTATTAACTTTTATCAGGTGTTAACATCTGTTTCAGGAACAAGGCAGTATATTTACAGGTCAGAAGTTTTGTTTAATTCTACGATATTTCTAAATTGATGTCTAAATAAATTCAGCAAATGGAAAAAAAATCAATTTTTAGATCCTACTTTAGAACAATTTAAAGACAGGGAATCTTAGATTGAAATATAGCAAACCAAGTAAGAAAAATAATTATAATAATTAACAAGATTTGTCTGGGGTTGGGGAGCTAGCTCATCATTTAAGAGAACTTGTTACTCTTGGAGAGGACCTGGGTTCAGTTCCCAGCACCCAAATGGTGCTAGGAGTCCGTAACACCAGTTCCAGGGTATCCTATGCCCTTTGTGGGCACTGCACTCATCTACACATTTCATGCAAGTACTTATATCATGCACTCATACATATAACATAAAATATAAGAAAAGATTTTGCTATTCTTTTTAGTTTGGGGTTTTGTTTTGTTGCCCTTTTGAGACAGGGTCTCCCTGCAGCCCAAGCTGGCTTGGAACTCATGACGAAGTTGGCCTTGATCTCATAGAGAATCCACCCTTCTCTGCCTCCCAAGTGCTGAGACTAAAGGATGCACCACCAGGCCCGGCTATCTTTTCGTTTTTTTGAGACAGAGTCTCATGCAGCCCAGATTGACATCGAACATACTATGTAAGCAAGGATGACCTAGAAACCCTTCATCCTCCTACTTCTACCTCCCAGCTGATATGATAGCAAGTATGTACTACTACACCCAAAAAGATTTTTAGAATTAAAATAACATGTAAGCAATATTTAGTTATTTCAGTCTTTAAATTACTAAACGATACAAATTTGATAGCTGAGGTAAAAATATATAAATATATTGAAAAGTGATTCTGGACAATGTAAACATTTTCTTTCAAAAATTTTATATTTTTTCTTTATTTTGTGTGTGGACTTCAAAAAAGAACTTGCAATAGTCAGTTCTCTTCTTCTAACATATGGGTCCAAAGGATTGAATTCAGGTCATCATGCTTGCTTGCACTCCAAGTACTTTTTTTTTTTCCCCTTCTTTTTGGTCTTTTTGAGACAGGGTCTCCCTGTAGCCCCAGCTGTCCTGGAACTCACTATGTAGACCAGGCTGGCCTTGAACTCACAGAGATCCGCCTGTCTCTGCCTTGCAAATGCTGGGATTAAAGGCATGCACCACCACACCCGGCTCTCCAAGTACTTTTGACGGACAACCCCCAACCCATCCCTCCTCACCCATAGCCATCTCTCTCTGGTTGAGGGCAATGTAAACTTTAATTGAACAGTCTAGAGTCTAAGGATGGAACCCAGTTGGTAGAGTGCTTGCCTGGCATGCACAAAATCCTGGGGTGGATTCCCAGCAACACATAAACTGGACCAAATGGCAAATATCTTTAATCCCAGCCCAAGAAAGGTCAAGGAAAGAGAATCAAAAGATTCAAGCCCAGCCTGGACTACAAGAAACCCTATCTCAAAAATAGGGGGTCTGGGACTATACCTCAGCTGGTAAAGCACTTTAAATTGTCTAACATTTTCCATTTTCCATTGTACATATATACAGTAAGAATTTTTACTTAATACATGGGCTAACTATGAGGCTGTCCTTTGAACTCATGATTCTCATGCTTCAAACTCTGGATTATAGCACCAACATGCCCA